ACCTAGCCCCCGGAGGCGCTGTGGCCAAAATCACCGGCAAAGAGGGCACTAAGTTTATAGGCAAGGCACGAGTGTTTGATAAGGAGTATCAGCTTAATGATGCACTCAACCAGGGTAAAATTCCCCGTGATGAGAATCTAGTGATCATCGTCCGTTATGAGGGCCCCAAGGGCGGACCAGGAATGCCGGAACAACTCAAGGCCAGCGCGGCATTGATGGGAGCCAAGCTTACCAATGTGGCACTGATCACTGATGGAAGATACTCAGGGGCAAGTCATGGGTTCATCGTCGGCCACATCGTACCCGAAGCCGCGGTGGGAGGGCCAATCGCTGTTGTCCGTGATGGGGACGTGGTTACAATTAATGCAGAGACCAACGAAATTAGCATGGATGTCTCAGATGAAGAAATCCAGCAACGACTGAGAGAGTGGCAGCCTCCCGCACCGCACGTTACACGCGGTGTGCTGGCCAAGTATGCCCGGCTGGTCGGAGACGCTTCCCACGGCGCAATGACGGACCTTTTTTAAGATATTTTAGGCACATGGTAGTAATGATTATGAATAAAACTGTATACGATTCCTTTACGAGCTGGCCATGTCATCAATGTTCAATAATTATGTGTCAAGCGGGCCCGTGCATCAACGCTCTGGAGGGAGTGTCATACCAAATCCATAGCGATAGGAGATCGACTTATGGCTGCATTGAATACAGGAAATACAACTCCTGTTTCGAACACCTGTTTAGCCTAGACGTATCGTCAACCACAAGAGTCTACAGCTCCCAATGGGAACGCCTGGTCCAGGGCCTCCTATATACACAGAATGGCAGGGAAAAAATCGAACGTAATATGTGTAACTCTACTCCCGCTAGAAACAGCAGAATAGGCAGATAACCAACTCGATCTAATCGATACTATCTACAGAGCATATATCCTATTTTTAGGGAGAGAGGACAGTATACTCTATAGACGTACCTTGGGCATTCCCAATGTTCCACGATCGATGACGTCCCTGCTGAGTCAGCGCAGCCACGAGATGCAGCTGACGCCATGAGTGGGCAACGGCGGATGACTCATCCACGCCGATCCTCCACGGTGCTGGTTCCGAGCCTGTGACAGGCGGACGATGTATTTTTCGCTCCAACAAACAAGCTCCACGAGAACCAGAGCTAAAACATCGTTCACTTCCTCAGCAAGGAGTCGCATTCCTATTTTGACCACTAGCAAGTGACTAGGGAGAAGCGACGTCTCACAGGGCCGGACCCTTTTCGCATTGATCCTTCAGGTAAGATGCTATGTTGTGTTGTTTGTCGCACAAAGTACCCGCTCGCACTGCCTTTTGAACGTGGTGCGAATTCTTTGCAGGTAACCTTGGTTCTAGCTAACCATTCTTCCAATGACCGTAGCATATATCCCACGTTTCCCCTCGTCTCCTAGAACCATACCATTAATCCGTGTGGCCTGTATCTGGGCCTACTGTCTTGTCCGCCTCCTGGAATAGAGTCAACTCGTCATTGGGAACTTCTCAGAGAATCAATAGTCGCTCCTTTCTTGGCTTTGCCTCAAACTGTGGATCTCCCAGATTTCCCCGGAGCGCCCAAAGGTAGACTGAAGACCAACGTGTTGCATGCTTGTCATCTATTGGTCCGATTACTCTCGGCGGGCGCACTCATAGATACAAACCCAAGAACATCGGGTTGCGACCTCTCCGGCTCTCCCTTACCTCAAAGGGATCTTCTGAGATATCCAAACTGTAATTTGGACTCGTCTCACCACCTGAGACGGTGGATTGCTTTGATTGACCCGCTTATTTGCCTCACTTTTGCGCTAAACCCAGATCTATCCACCAAAGAGGTTCCGCCCTTTCATCTCGTGTGTAGATTTCCAAGTGCATTCCAGAACACATCCCCCGTAATCACACAAGGATCGGCCGGGTGAGCTGTTTGGCACTAGACATTGTGGCGTGGTAAACAGTGAGTGAATGAATGAATACGTTGTCCGGAAAGGGGGAGCTGTTCAGACTGGGCCAGATCGGCATCATTATAAGTTAAAAGACTTGTCGCAATGGGGCCGACTGATTCGCCAACACTCCCTACGACTTCCCGTCTAGGCGTTTCGGATATTAGTGCTGTCATACGCCTTTGGGACTCTATCTACTCTGTTTTCGCCAACTCAAGTGCCTTACTTTCTTTCACTCGCCTTTCCCAAAACCTCGATCGTGATGGATTCTTGAGTTCACCCAAGGCCTTATTGCTAAGTACCTGTTTTATCGTCATGGCTGGTTGTGGGTTCTTGTCCGTAATTCTGCGACGCAAGAGCTCTGGGCGGACTTCGGGGAACAAGCGTTGTCGCCGGGCTGCTCGTCGAAATGCCTCCAAAGCGTCCGCTGGAACTTTTACCTCGTCCGAAGACGAAGGGTATGATAGCAGTGGATCGTTGCGACATGGCACAGACAGCGCCTTCTCTACAGAGAAGACGGAGCCTCAACGCCGTGAGCAGTCAGACGATGGTCTGCGCATCCCTAACCCTACCCTGCTATCAACCATTGCTGACGGCGAAGTAGCGCAAACCACAGATCCTGGCCTGCTCAAGAAACATTCAACATATATATCCTACACTACATCTGTCGCAACATATCCATCCATACGAACATTTCACAAGCCACATCCACAGAAGGACAAGTTGCCGATAAAACCATCTCCAATCCCGTTGCTAGTCTTTGTACACGGCTTGGGTGGCTCGCTAGCCCAATTCAATCATCTGCTGACCAGCTTGTCTAACGTCGGGCCGTGCTTCGGAATAGATCTGCCCGGTTGCGGATTGTCGAGGTTTGAGCCTGCTTCTTGGGATGCATATAAGGTCGAAGCGCTCGCAGAACTGCTTGCGACCGCTATTGAAGAGCATCGTGATAAAGACGCCGGCCAGGGGGTGGTCTTAATTGCTCACAGTTTGGGCTGTTCCCTTTCAGCAATGTTGGCATCCGCGACCTCTCCTATAGGGCCCGACTTGAAGAAGCATATTCTCGGGCTCATCGCTGTCTGTCCCCGCGCGTCGCCCCCATCTTCCAAAGAAGTTACATCTTTCCGCCGCCTCCTCCACATTCCGGGTCCGATATTTGACCTTTGGCGATGCTGGGATCGACGAGGCGGTCTGAAGAGCACCAGTGTCAATCGTCTTGTCGGCGCAGATGCTGATTCCGATACAAGAGAACTCCAAGCGCGGTACAACAAACAAAGCAAGACACCTGTGTGGAGACGCATGGCCTGGGGTACTCTTCCCACGTATGACGATGTCAATGGAACCCCTGTAGGAGGGATTCCAGGGGAGCAGACCTGGGTAGGAGTACGGACGCCAACCTTACTTGTGGCTGGCGAATCTGACACCGTAACAAAGCCTGCAGAATTGCGAAAAATTCTCAAATTCTTCGGGGGCAAAGGCTCAAAAGCCGAAGAAAGCAGCAATAGTAGCAACATTACTCCGGATGCTTCGGAAGTTGATGGCCAGGTTCCAGCTCCCTACAGCCGCTTAGCGCACGAAGAGGAGTTTGGTGTTGAACCTCAAGTGAATGAGAAGGAGATTGAGAACTCTTCAGAGAAGCCACTACAAGCTAAACGCTCTGTCAAAACAGTTATCCTGCCAGCTCCAGCCTCTCACGCTCTTCTTTACGATCGTGCGACATATCGCACTTTAGCTGGGATCATCCAAGACTTCCTTCAGCAGCACATTGATAATCGACTGAGTCTCGGATGGCAACTGCAATATCTTAATACGTCGGGCAAGTGGGACGTGAAAAACCTAGCCAAGTGGAAGAAAGTCACCCCTGTTTCAGAGCGCATCTCCGACACATTCGTCGCACTCAAAATGCTGCGCGAGGTTGATGAGGAACATAATCCTGTATTATTCTCACAAACATATAATGGACGGATATACGCAGTGATCGATATTAGCTACGAAAACCCGGTGTACAACCCGGCCTCTTTGGAAAAGGGAGGCATCCATTACCACAAGCACCCTACCGTGTCAAAGATCCCACCAACACCAGATGAGACACGAGACTTTATTGCCTTGGTCGATAGGCTTCAGAATGAGATTACAGAGAAAGTGGGAAAGTCTGGCAACCGGCAGACTCTACGCCCGGTAGTTGGGGTTCACTGCCATTACGGATACAATCGAACCGGTTTCTTGATTGTCTGCTATCTGATTGAACGTTGTGGGTATACCGTCCAGGAAGCAATTGACGAATTTGAAAGACGCCGTCCACCAGGCATCCGACATGGACATTTTATTGATACATTGTTCGTGCGATATTGTGTTGGGCTCAAGAGAGCACCGACTCTATAGAAGCCAGCTGGGCTCTGGGGTTCTCGTCCTTCTGCTGGTTCCCATTGCTCTTTGTCTCCCGTCTTTTCTTCTATTACTATTCTCTTTTCTTTTCATTTTCGGGACTATGTGGCGTTCGGCTTGGGTTCACGGTTTGGGATGGTGTAATGATGAGTTATGACAGCTAGTAGCTTTTTGATAGACTGTACAGTAGCCAGTGATAAATAACAATTCTAATTTTTGTCCACCATGAATATCCTCAATAGTTGCTATATAAGTACGAAATGGTACACTTAGAAGCAACGCTAGCTCCCCCATCCCTTCCTGCGTGATCAAACTACGGCGTACGGAGCAAGTGACTAGCACGGAGTAGTTCAAGGCTAGTCGGGCACTAGGTCCACGGTAAATTTAGCCATTACCGTTTAGGGCCGCTCGGAGCCGTCATCTGTATCTCGATAGTGATGCCTGAGGCATTATTGTTTAGGGTTACGCTAGTCCAGATACGGACCGATGCAGCTTAGTCACCCACAAACCCACAACGAGAAACCGCGTGATTGTCCGTCCGAAATTTCGAGGTTTGATCTGACCGACCGACTCTCCAACGACGACAACGACCCATCCTCTCACCTCGTCCCCTTTTCAGTACACCTTCGATTCCCGCTCGAGGTTCAAAGTCGCAAAAATGGGTGGTGTCACCGTTCGCGATGTGGACGTAAGTTGTCCTGCCCCCCCTGCACCTATACCTATATGTTCCTGAAGTCGATATGGCACCGGTATCTGGAAGAGGGGGAAACGGACGAGGGAACAACATTGCAAGGCAGGGAGTGAGGGGCAGAAATCTTGGGATGTTCTGGACGTGCTGGGTTATTGTGGGCACTGGTTTACGTGGACGACATGGATATGCCTCAATCGGATCGCAAAGCATCGATTGATGGGATCTGCGACTGGGATGCATGGGAGATACAACACCGCGATGGACGCAACGGATTCCGAGACTCAGATACCGGGATTTTGCCAGAGGATCTTCAGGAACCAAAATTGCAACGTCAGATCAAGCTAAGGACTTATACTGACGAATTTCGAATTACAGGCGCAGAAGTTCATCTCTGCTTACTCTGCGTTCTTGAAGCGTCAGGGAAAGCTCCCCATCCCTGGTGCGTAGTTTAACTGAATTTGTCTCACGATCAATCGGAAACTGATACTTTATCCAGGATGGGTTGACACTGTCAAGACCTCTTGCTCCAACGAGCTCCCTCCCCAGAACGCTGACTGGTACGACTGAACCAACAATATCGTTTGTTGCGCTGCCGACACATCTGACAATCACTAGGTACTACGTCCGTGCCGCTGCCGTCGCTCGTCACATCTACCTCCGCAAGACCGTTGGTGTTGGCCGCCTCCGCAAGGTCCACGGCTCCGTCAAGAACCGTGGCTCCCGCCCCAACCACCACGTCGATGCCTCCGGCTCCGTCGACCGCAAGGTCATCCAGTCCCTCGAGAAGATCGGTGTCCTCGAGTTCGACGAGGACAAGGGTGGCCGTCGCATTACCCAGTCCGGCCAGCGTGATCTTGACCGTATCGCCAAGACCACCGTTGACGAGGAAGAGGAGGACGACGAGTAAATTAGCCTCCGGATTAAAATAATGAAAAAGTCCTGATGTGTTCCACGTTGCCTCTTTTTTTCCTTAATTTTTCCCTCTGGATTCTAAATTTCCGGGTGAAAAATCGGGTGAAAAACGGTCGAGTACGCTTCGTCGGCATGGATCGAGTGGGATTGATGGCTATGGACTCAGGGAGAGGAATGAAGTTTCTTTATTGTTGCATATTACAATGTTCAATTTCCTGATGACTCGGGGGCCTACTACGGAGAATTCACCAACCTTGACTACCCAAAGACATCCATCTCTCTCTCTCTCCTTCCCATGTCTTATCGACATATCGCCTCGTCCTGATCCAGTTCCCGACGACATCTCGTGTTTCTCCCCAGGCCTGAACCATAGAGCACGTATGATATCAACTTGACAGATTCAAGCCTTGCATACGGGAGCGTAAATTGAAATCGTAGAATGTATGTACAATTGTATCAAGCAAGCCTCTATATCTACACATTATTTCTTCCCCGACTGCGCCGTAGGATCCTACAGTCCCCAAAACGTCAGTCCCCTCGACCCGAAACTCAAGACCAAAGCAACAATAATAGGTAGAACTCACCAAATAAACCTGATAAAACCGCATCTTCAACTCCTTCTCATCAAAAACCACCCGTCCAGCCCACGGCACCTCAACCTCGTTCTCCGGGTCCGCCTTCAGCACATACCTAACCGTCCCATAGAGCATCAACTCCCGCTCACCCCCGAAATAAACCTTCGTCGGGAAATGCTTCCTCGACTTCACATGCGTCCAGAGACCATGTCGGAGATTGAGGATTTCTTTTTCCACGGAAATACATAAGTCAGCTCAATGCACTCATCCAAACTGCAACACCGCCGTCCATTCTAGATTTACATAGTAGACATGGACATTTTGGATCAAGACGAAACGAGCAAAGAAAAGAGTAGGTGGGGGGGGGGGGGGGGGGAAAGATGGAGAACCAACCTTTCTCGCCATTCGCGACCTTCGACCCCATGATTAGCGTTGCATCGGGGGTGAAACTCTGGACGTATTTCTCGTGCAGGGATTCAGTGTCGCTCGTTGCGTAGAACGACTCCATGAAGGTTATCAAGGAGTCGCTGTTGGGTGGGGTGAGGGTTGGGTTGGAGGTGAGGTTGTAGGACATTTTTGTTGGTTGTGCTCTTCTGTTTTTGGCTTTGCTTGTTTGATGGGTTAATTGGGAGGGTACTTGGTGTAAATGTTACTGGGAATCGGGAGGGGTTATCTAGATGCTTTTTATTGTGTTACGAGGGGTATATACTACTGTATGTTTGATTTGGTGATGTCAGTTTTTGTTGGGTAAGGGATTTTCGGGCCGATAGGTTTGGAGCTTTCCGATCGATATCCGATGGGGGGCTTTTTTTTTTGGGTCGGGGGTTGTGGTATTCGGTTTGTATTTTGTACTTTTATGCTTGGCTTAGTTGGTAACTTCCTCTTGGAGATTGAGGCGCTAAGTGATGGTGTTGTGTGTGGTATTCATGATTTATACAACTGTATGTACAGTCTGGAACAATTAAGCTTTCTTATGATCTTCTTCGACCTCTCTGAAATCCTCCCAGCTCGCCCGGTCGGCTCCGTTGGGTCGGGAAGCCCTCTCGAACTTGTTTTCGACACCATCAATTTCACAGATTGGTCGGACAACCTCAATATCCGCGTTGTAGGCCTTGGAGTACCATTTCTCTGTGAGCGCCTCTTGTCCCGAGGCACTATCGGCGGAGACGTAGAGATGAGGGAATCGGGCCTGCATGATCTTCAGAACAGTCGATGAGATGCGGTCCACGCTGTCACAGTGTCTCAGCTTGAAGAATTCTGGGGGCTGCGCAGCTCGCATTTTCTCCTGCACCTCCTCGGAGTATTTTCCCACCGCAAAGAGCAGTAGATCGTAGTGCATCAGAGACGCTTTTCCATGGTAAGAGCCACCAGTTTTCGCTCTGTGGTAGAGTCCAGTCAATGCTGCAATGGCACCCATGCAACCAGTGCCATAGTCTGAAATAGGGAAGGGGGGTACCACGGGGTTCGACAGTCCCATGAATTGTCCCTGTGCCCAGGCAACACCGGTCACCTATAGTCTATGTAAGCTTTTTCCGCAATTATATATGATTTTGAGTCTACTTACGCAGTCCGCAATCTGTTGCCAGCCTGCGCGGCCAGCCCATTCTCCCTCGTACCCAAAGCAGTTCTCATTCACGTACACGATTCCCTTTCCACGTTTCTCTGCCAGTGATGAAAGAGCTTCAGGGCCATAGCCTAGTTTCTCAATGGCCCCTGGGCGATATCCATCCACGACCACATCTGCGTCAGCCAAAAGCTCTTCAAACTGGCGTCGTCCTTCTTCTGTTTTCAGGTCCAAATCAGCAGTGCGCTTGCCCATGTTACCATCCACCTGGAAGAATGGCACATCAGAGAGGCTCGGACTGGTGATCTTCAAAACATCTGCTCCGTACTCGGTCAAGATGCGTGCAACGGTGGGGCCGGCAATGATGCGGCAGAGCTCCAGGACTTTAATTCCTTCAAGGATCTTCTTGCTGTCGGGACGACTGGCGGGAAAGGGTGTGGGAGGCAGGTCACCCTTGAGGCGGGACACCTTCCATGCGGGTTGCTGAACGTTAAGTTCACCCTAAACAGACACATGGTCAGTTTCATTGGTGCATAAAAGATGGTATAAATGGCATATAGTGCCACATACATGTGCGGTTTTTATGAAGTCTTCGTATTTAAAAGCTGTCACACCAGCTTGCTTTCTCGCTTTATTCATCTCTTCCAACTCCGCGGCTGTGTATTTCTGCACATGACTCTCAATGACTTTAATGATCTCTTCGTAGTCTGTCAGATCTGGACGGTGGCCATCCAATCCAATCATATTCAGCGTTGTCGTGGCCTCTAGGGAGCCATGGATATGGAAGTATTCGCCCTCGTTCTTAGTTTTATATAAATTCGCAGACATCCTACGGTAACCATTAGACTGCGCCGCAAGCAGATCGGTATCTGGGCTGGTCAGCTAATGCTTTTATACGGAGATAGAGCTTCCCACCTTTCAACTTCTTTTTGACCTCTGGGTCCAGCTTAGACAGTCCGTCAACTTTTGCCATATAAGCCTGGCAACCAAAAGCTGTTGCTCGCTCAAGGTTAACCTTCACATCACGCTTTTGAGGTCCATAGCGCAGGTTCGCAATTGCCGCTGCCACAGATCCTTCGACCCCTTTCAAGGCAGCCAGAGTTTCTGTCTCTTTGAAAGGAATGGGATAGTAGATCTCATTGTGCGAAGAGTCGAAGGATACTGCATTCTTGTTTTCTACAACCTCCGAAGGAAGATTGAGACGCTCGGCTTGGTCACAGAGGTGGGAAAAGATACGCCCTGTCTCACGGACAGGAGAATACACACTCCCCATGTCTGGTTTGCTGATAGTTCACGTGGAGGCGTTCGCAAAAGGATATACACGCAAGATAGAGAAGGATGAATATAGATTGAACTCTATTTGCAAGGAGTTATGAACAGCCCACGACAAGAGACGTGGAGAAGATTATATATGACTGAGCTCTATATTTTCTTCGGAAGATAGAAAGGTACTTCAACGGTTATGGCGTTCTCCGGGTCAACTCCGAGAGAGCGTCCGATGTCTGTATGTGTGGCGGATCGGCACCTGCAGGAGATGCAGTGGGCCTCTTTGCCGATTGATAGCAAATAATAATAAGAAGGGCTTAGAGGTCATTGTGTAAATCAAGACCAACCCCGCAAAGAAGGTTGTTATCCGACAGATGCAGCGGGACTGGAGCACTTCCTTTCGGATGTGAGAGTGATAAGATCGGATGCCGATAGGATAGTGTGCTGATGTAAGCATCAGGCATTCAAGGCATCCATCACGGTAACTAGTACTAGTTAACTATGCCTGCCTGCATACTCACTTAACAAGCACTGTGTGCAAATCTATCTACCGGGGATAGGTTAACAACATCAGTGGCAACTCAAGAATCTTGACTTCGCCGATCCAAGAATGTGCCTTATCGGAAGCCGTGCGATATCTGCAAGGGACAAAAAGTCATAGACAGGAATGCATTAATCTCCGTACTTCCGGTCTGCCGCAGATATATATCTGTAACAAAACAGTGAAAGAGTTGTACTGCAACAATACCATAGAGCCTAAGAGTATTGAACAGAAAACAGTGACCATCTACAAATTTCGGGAGGACGCCTATATAATGCGTCAGTACTAATGTCAGCCACATCCTGGGTTCATATGAGCGCGCAGCATGCTCTTCTTGAAAGAAAAGGGTGGCACCGCCGAAGACACCTGCAGAACGATAGTCACCGTTTCCGCCACCGAGACAAAGGCTGATATTCGATGCTTACCTTGCGTGGAGAGATATCAAACAGGCATCGTATCGATCTCTGTACATGCACTACAGATAATGGGCCATCAATCCCTTCCTTCCCTAGTCGAGGTTCCCCTGAGAAACTATATACGTACAGTAAACACCATAACGAGCACATCATTAAGCACTTGCAGCCCCCAGCCTTTGTCAGTTAACAAAGGCCTTGGTGGGCTCAGTATTTTGCCGTTCTCCGAGAGTCTCTGATTCCCTCCGATGAAACGGAAATGTCTCGGACACAACGAGAAGGATGCAGACCGGATTTCGATCCAGACCAGTTGCGTAAATTAACTTGGCGCCCAGTTCACTCGGCACATTTCATGGTCAGTTTTGCTGCCCTAGGTTCTCTCGCCTTGACCTGCCTCCGGTTCCGGGCTCCGGGGGTTTACCATCTTGTTCAACAATAATCGAGCAATGATGCCGAGAGGGATTTTGGTTTAGGTGAGCGCCCGGTAGGAAACATTTCCCCATCAGTGTACAGTGTAGAAATCGCTGCAGGGCATAATGGCCTAGCCACCGTGCCTGACTGTTAACTACTAATCAGGGAAGAGGAAGTTAGCCCTAAAGCACATACATTTCCCTCCCCCCACCACTAACACCCCACCCCCACACTTCTATGATTTACAAATTCGCTGACGTTTTATCCTAAATACGCACTGGTCGACCGAGCACAGATACACAATCAGGGCTAATTGAGTGAATACCTAATTGCACATAAATCCCTCAAGCCCCTTGAGACATGAGGGGAAGTATCCATTACCGCGGAGATTGTCGGCTATCATACCCTCACGGAGAAAAGGGCTGACGACATAAGCTGAGATGCTTGGACTTCAGACCCCACTTCCATGGCGCAGTAGATCCTGGAAATTGCATCCGGGCACTGGCAGATGGTGATTAGAGTGATAATCGTGATCCATCCATACTCAGACATTACCGGTGAATAGAGATCCATGCATCCATCGACTAGATTAATCATCGATGAGATTCAAAAATTCTCACTCCCATCATAGGTTGCAGGATCAGGATAGACAAGGTTTCGAGCATAATGCAACCGGAAGAGATTTTTTTACTTCTCAGCTGGTCAACGGAGCAAATCAGAGGAGAGTCTAGGATCACACTCGTTGCAGGCACACCCCACGATCTTCTCACTGCAGAGAGGGGGCGAGGGGAGCCATTCAACGCATTCAGATATGAGGTGGTGTTGAACGCCCACGTGTGACAATCAGGGAAAGTTATCGCGTACCGCGAATAGAATAGGGTTTCCGCTCTGCTTTCCTCATGCAACCAAACTTCGCGCACGAGCACGAGGCATGCATCTTGATATGCTCGTCGATCCGGTACCCGAGGAATAGAATTAGGTGGAATACATTCGGCGTTCCAAGGATACTGCGAATCTTGTATAGAGGCTTGTACACTACGACATCATCGTGCTTTCGGATTGTGTTACTTTTCTTTCGTGTTTGACGGTAAATCTTGGAAGTGGAGCGGGGAATTGGAGTATGAGTTATTCTCCTGACATATGTGGATTGATCGTATTTGAGGTGTATGGAACCTGTCTAAGGTGTACTAGGTACGTTGCTTAGAGTACCTGGTTAATTTCTAATGAATTTCAATCTCATTCCGCCCTTTGTGTATCTGTGCGTAGACAGTTAATTTACTCGGAGGAGGATGGCAGAAAGGAAAGAAAGAGAGAGAGAGAGCGATAAGCTAGTCACAGTGCGTAAATTACGATACCGAAGGGACGGTACTCCGGAGAAGGTCTGGATCGCTCCGGAAGGTCCCGGCGCTGTCTGAAGCGGGCCTGAGGAGTGTCAGCCAATGAACAGGCCCACGCGAGGCGATAGACGGTTTCTGTTCGTACGCAACCATGTATTCCCGATTACCACTATAGTATGGGAACTATAAGGAAAAAGGAGAGATAAGAAGGTCGCACTGGCCCTACAAAATGTACATCGAATGCATGTACTCCGTACTTTCCTCCTAGTACTCCGTAACTCTCCCCATAAAAGGAGTAAGGATCCGGAGTCCCTGGTATTACTCATACCGTACCTTCTTTGCCTGCTGATCATCCGGCAATCAACTTTGTGGCCGCCTGACTTGACATTCCATCCGCGACTGCTATTATTATTCGTACTATTATTCCTGACGGGCTTTGCTCCTTACTTTCCCCCCTCCTCTTTCTCTCTCTTCTCCTTCCATCAAAGCTGTCCTCTCTCTCTCTCTCTCCTCGCTAGAAACAACGCACAGTCAAGGATTAGAATCGGTTCATCTTGTCGATATTCTCCTTCGTTCCTGAGCTCTACGGTTCCGACGGTCGCGTGCCTTTAAAGACTATCTGAACTAGCGCGTCGCATCGCATCTGCCCTGACGTATCATATCATTGCTGCATCTCAGTTTCTGCGGTCAGTCTTTAGCCAGTGTGCGGTAAGTCGCAGCCTCCCTTTCCCCTATTTTCAAAAGTTCCCTCAGGGTTCTTTGTTTCCGACAATTTTTTGGTTCTTTGCTTGTCCATGGTTCTGTCTGTACATACATAAGCACAACCACTCTTTAGGTACCCAGTCACCATCCCTCCCACACTTCAGGTCGTGCCTTCCGGTTGGTGGATTGTTCTTCTGACTCATGTGATTACAGATTAGCCACCACAACAACTAAATAATAATATCTTCTTTTTCACCATCATGGCTGCTCAGACGACTACTACCTCTAGCATTGCAATGGCGCTTGCTGGCAAGACAGCCTCTATGGATATCCCCAAATCTCGTTCTGCTTTCACTTCTGGTGGCCGCGATTCCTCTCGTACAGGCCATACCATGTTACCAACTCCCCCTAACTCTATCTCCCCGACTCTTCCTCCTCAGGCCTTCAAGGGCCAGGACGTGAGGCATCCCGCATCTCCTCCTTTTGCCACATCTCAGGTTGATTCCGATATCGATTTGGGTGACGCCGATGCAGACAGTCAGAATCAGCACCATCAGGGTGTTGGTGATCTTGACAGCGCTGGGACAATCACCCCCAGTATGCTAGCCAAGTATCACCTACCGGAGATCATGCTACAGCACGGACCCCTCGCCATTCGCCATGTCATGGGCTACTTGACAACTTCAGTGCCAGGATTTTCCCGAATCCCTCCCGCTAAAGCACGACGACTAGTCGTTGCGGCATTAGAAGGTCGGGGAAGTGATGAGAAAAGTGGCGGTCCTGCAAGTGATGTTATCTTTGAGAAAGTTGGATGGGGTCGTTGGGACGCACGACGTCGCGGCGAACCCTCACGCGATGCGCAGCCTCAGAACTTGTCGCCACCCTCAAGCTTCTCGAATTCTTTCTCTCAGCGAGGGATACAGATTCCTGGGAAGAGAGGGAGTCTGCAGCCTTACGGGTCCAGCGTGACTGGCGATTCGGCTGTCTTCTCATTTACGGAAATGGATTATGCTGGGCACATCTCGGAGCATGAGGCGGATAAGATGTCACTCGATGGGAATGAACAGGAATACTATTCATCTTCCGAGGCTCCAGAAGATGAGATTCAGGATGAGGACTGGGGCGAAGAAGATGTCACCGACGAAGAGGATTGGGCACAGATAGGGGCTGCAGCGCTTCGTGCGCGGTCCTTGAACGGCGGGGGCGGTTTCGTCAACGGACACCATCCATCGCCACAACTCCGGGGCGGTGGGCCTGCATCATCCTCTTTGGCGAAGTCTGCGCCGCGCAAACCTCCTATTCAACAACTTGGTTTCTCCCTTCCAGATGGTATGGTAGGCAATACCGAGGAGCGGGCCGCAGTGGAGGCGCTTTTGCGTCTCGGATCCATGTAATGCTATATCTTGGACGAAGGACCTGGTTCGGATTATGCCCATTGCGTTTTATATCTTGGAGCTTCATGGCCGGTCCTTAGCCCTAGCATGTTTTTTCTTTGTTCTCTTCACGTTCTACGACTCCCCCTTGAAAGGGATGTGCCAGCTGACTCGACTGGTTCGAGGTGTTGGCTATGATGCATTGGGACTTGGGATTGAACTGGCGTTCTCATGGTATTTTCTCTCGCAGCTGAGACCGCTGCAAGTTATTGCATTATGCCTTAATGGCTGTCTTTCCTTTTTCTTTCCTTTTTTTTTTTTCTCTTCGCCTTCACTTTTTTATTTGTGGGTTCTGCAGTGACTTCGATAAATATCCTGCTACCCTGTACTCTTTATTGCATATGCCCGGATGATAGGGCAGTCATCTCTACTCTCTACTTTGCATTATAACATACCGAGAGTTGTATCATCTCGATCATCGTCCATATGGTTTTTGGCCGGCACAGAAATTATTGACGGCATTCTTGACGACCGGAGACAGAATCTGCGGTGGTGGAAATACGATATTATATAGAACTAATCAAAGTTTGCCTTCAACGGCGACAAGACATATAATAGAAGCTTACATACTCATTATTCCTAAGATTGAGATTGGGCCCATCAGAGCCTTGCTCCGCATTGTAGTCCTGTATTATTGGCCACTCTAAAATTCAGCTCTTTAAGAATTTAGTGCTATCGATAACCGATGCATTTTTGGAACACCCTGATAGAACCACCAATGATTTCAACGCATAGAATACACTGAAGCGACAGAACAAGAATATACAACTAATACCAACCAATCCCATCAAAGCAACAACTCCATTCCAACCCACCCTGAAGCATGGATCCATCATCCATGATACAACCTTCATGAACCAATGAAGCCCAGCCCAACCAGAACCCTAAAAAATACAAACAAAACCCCCCGCAAAGCAAATCACCGTACGAATCTACTTATCATGAGCTTCATTAATCCTCCTCCAAACCTCAGCTTCAACCTCCGCCAACTTATTCCCCGCGCTCCAGAACCACGCCTTGGCATTGTCAAGAAATCCCGATTCACCAGTCCCTATTTCCGTGTTCCCAGAGGTATAGTGCAGCGGTAACTGGGACCGACTGCCCGAAAGAGATGTATTGTTCACTGTACTCGTTGGCGGCTGGTAGAGAGATGCGTAGGGTGTGGACGTTGAATTCGGAACTGCAGCTTGCGGTTGAATGTGCGGATTGGGATGTCGTTGTGTTAAGGATGATGGGGAGTAGCTGTAGCTGTACCCAGATCTGAGATTTGGGTTTGAAGCGGTAGTTGGGGGAGAGGTGGATGTAGTAGCAGTAATAGTAGTAGGAGGGGGAGAAGCAGTAGTAGTAATAGTAGTAGGGTTAGACTGGGTACTTGCCGCGAACGGTGCTTGTGGTTGCGCTTGCGGGATATCGGCTGGTTTGGGTGGTGGAGGGTTCGAAGGAGATGGTTCTGTTGGTTCTTGGGTTGCTGGTGGAGGATGTGGTTGAGCTCCGGGTTGTGGTGGTGGTGGTGAGGTATTAGTAGCCGTAGTCGTGGTACTGGTGGCAGTAGCTGGTTCTGGGGGCGGGTGTATAGGGGCTGTTGGGGGGTCGGTTGGTGCTGAGGCGGGTTGTGAGGGCATACTGGCTGGTTCGGCGGTGGCGTAGATTGGGGAGTAAGGTGGTGCTGTTGCTGTTGCTGAGGTGGTTGGAGGGTCGAGATCGTCCTGCTTGGAGGTTGGATCTGGAGATGGGGTTGGAGAAGATAAGGTCGGAAGGGTTTCCTCCTGAGTGCTTGAATTCGTAGCCATGATAGACGTTGTTAGTCTGATATGTCAGATATGCGTGCTTTAGTTATATGGCAATATTGATCTACTACTAGTAGTGCAAGGAGCTGTCGCAAAGGGAGCTCAAAAACTATTATTATCGGCTGCCACTGAAAGCCTACGTCATCAGGAAGGGATACCACGTGAAATAGATCATGTGACTTTTTCACTGACCGCCTTACAGAGTTTTCAGACACGTTTTACAAGACCACAAAACCAAAAGACAGGCTATTTGATATCGCATCATACTGGCAAGGAAGCAAGATTGGAAAAAAAAGGAAATAAAATAAACTTGCAGGCAGTAAAGTACAACTGGTACAAGGAAATATCACACTGCTCTATGCTCAAGATTACACAATCCCTTGACGCATATCTCTAAATTTTCAGCATCTGGCAGTTACGCCAGATCACACCCCTCCATTAACATCACATCCCAAACGAATTGAAGTTAATCAATCGTCTATTTGAACTTCTTGCCGAAGAGGATGAGCTGGACCTGGTCGTAGATGGACAGGACACCAGCACCAGCAACACCACGGAGGATGTTAGCACCAGCACCCTTGAAGAGAGACTTGACACCCTCCTTGGCGACGATCTGGCGGAAAGCATCGAAGGAAGAGTTGTACTTGACGGCCTCACCAGAGGTCATCATCATACGACGACGGACGGTGTCAAGAGGGTAAGAAGCGATACCAGCACCAGTGGTGACAGTCCAGCCGAGAAGGAAGGAAGCAAGGAAGTTACCCTCAAGAGGACCGACCAGGACAACAGGCTTGATGGAGTCGTACATGCCGAAGTACAGACCACGGTAGACAACAATACCAAGAACAGAGGGACCGAAACCACGGTAGAGACCGGCAATACCATCAGAAGCAAGAGTCTTCTTGTAGACATCAACGAGACCGTTGAACTGACGGTCACCACCGCCCTTGGCGGACTTGGCATCGTTGGCAAGACGGGTACGGGCGTAGTCAAGAGAGTAGACGAAGAGAAGGGAAGTGGCACCAGCAGCCTAGGATAGTTTGTTAGAAGTTATCCAATAATGGGTTCATTTTTGGGAGACATACACCACCGGAGGCAAGGTTACCCATCATCCACTTGGTGTATCCATCACGGTCCTTCTTGTAGGCGAACATGGACTTGTAGGTGTCACGGAAGGCAAAGTTAAGAGCCTGGGTGGGGAAGTAACGGATGACGTTGGCAGTGTTACCACGCCAGAGAGAGGCAACACCCTCAGAGGCGGCAGTACGACGGAAGCAGTCCATGATACCGTTGTACTTGCGGTCGAGACGACCGGCGCGAAGCATCTCATCCTGGTTCTGGATGAGGAGCTTGATACGCTCGATGGGGGCGGCAGCGGTCTTGGAGACAGCAGCGGAAACACCACCCACTGTTGAGATCGGTTAGTACGTGTCGAGTTATGAACAGAGACCTGGAAGACTGCATTGATGGGAATTGGTCGATTTGGCTTTGGCCAACCGATCAAGGGGTGTTCGGGATGCACATACTCAGGAAGTCAACGACGAATCCCTGTTGTGAAAATTCTTGTTAGCTATCAATTCCTTGATCAATTGCGTGCGATCGCGTCAAAACTACAGAATCCCGATTTCCTGATTCTTGCGATGATTCTTTCGATGCTATCGAAACCATACGATCCATTGTGACCAGGAAGCGCGTGATCTGAAGTTTTGGCCAACACAGCTAGGGGCAGTAGCAAGGCAACTTACGGGCATGCCCATAACGGACTTGTCGCCCTGGTTAACGGACATCTTGACGGCTGTGAAGAATAAAAACTAAACAACCAAGAGAGGAGATGGATAAGAGAGTGATGGAAGAAAGAAGAGAAGAAGGAAGGGAAAGGGAGAAAAAATAGCGAGCGAAGGCTCTTGTAAGCGGGAAGAAGCGAGCGGAGACGCTAAGACCGCTTTGGGATACGCTGGCCAATTTCGCAGTGGCAGCGACCGGCAGTCCAGGGAGGAAGGGGAGGAAAAAAAAAAAAAAAACTGGAACCGGCGCTAATGCTGGCCCAGGCAACCTGAGCCGATATCTCCCGATCGCTCCAGAAACCGTTCCGACTGGTTTTATCCAGGTGAGATACCCCCAAACAAGAAGCGGAAAAGAAGGAAAAACCAAAATCTAGATAAATTGGTTTTGATAGTTATCAAGAGCTATTGAGTTCATTTTCTCTAAACAGAAACAGTTTCTATAATAATAATTTTCATCTGGGGGGGTCTACCATCGCTATTAGGATTTTCTCGGATGCATACCGAATCGGTCGTTTTGATACTGTACAGAGAAGGTTCAAGGTTCCCATATTCCTTGAGAATTTTTCCCTCCCTTTCCCATTTCCCCGTGACCGAACCAACAAACAATTGGAGCCTCCGCTCAGAAACAGACGCTCCCTCACCCACACCCACATGGGGAAGTCCCCCTTCTTCCCTTTGGTCCCGAGTTTCCGATGGCAAATCAAATTTTAATCGGCAACGGACATCGACTCCTTGGCTTGACTTTTGTCTTCGCCATACGGAAAATGAACTAGCCAAGTTCAAGATGATCACTAAATCTTTTTGCCGTTCCGTACCATATAGCTGTATGAAATTCGTAATTGTCTCTGAAGCTAACGTCGGTCGTGTGCACCGCCGGCTATCGGTTGCCATGGCGTTCGAAACTTCGTACACCGTCTGAAGAGCACTCTGATATCTTGAATAATACTCCGGACTAGTCGATTTCATTCTATTTCTCCCATTCGCCGTTTCCTCAAGCTTCGATTTTCCTTGGTCTCAGCATCCATAGCTTGCAGGGCTGATGATGGCTAAATCCCTCATTTCCAGCTATTCACTCCCAAGGTTTCTCATATGTACTGTACCTCAAACTACCTCGGATATTAATAGGTACTATTGATACATACGTGTCCATGCGAATTCTATCAAAAGTATTTCAGACCTGTCAATACGAGAGATATAAAATAACCTTGTGCTTGGTCAATTTGTTCTTCTACCATGGTCCATTTCCGTATCAACACTGGGCCAAACATTACCATTGTTCTTAGTATAATTATTAGCTATAAATATTCGCAGTCCAAAGAAGACACGATGTCAAGAGGACAGTTCCATGCGGATCCACACGGCTTCCTTTTTTTTTTATAAAAAATAAAATAAAAATAAAAAAAAAAACTCTCTAAATCAGTTTCTCCTTTTAATGACGGGGCAACAAAGCTAGTGTAAAACTACTCAAGTCGCCCGTTGTAATAGAGACCCACCAAACATGGGGGTCCATCGTTATGAATGTTCACGGCATCAATCACATTTTCGCCATCCTGGTTATAACATTGACTGGTTAAGTAAAACAAGTATGGTTTGAGCTCCAGGCCCAAGGACTTGGATTGTTCCGTCAAGGAAGAGAGAACTTGCCACTTCTTGTTTCGATTCTAGACTCGTAAAAATCCTTCATTCTACCTAATCGCCACCTTTCGGATACTGCTTGGCAAACGCTCGGTGGCCCGGCGGTCGAGAGCCGGATTATACGGCTTCAGCCAGATAGAGAACGCGCTGGTATATTCCGTACATACATACAAATTTAAACGTAGTCCATTGGAGCCTGACGTATAGAAATGCAATGGTATTAGCAACTTCCCTACAGGCATTGTCAATCCCTACTTTTCTTTATATATATCATGCATCGCTCACGTGCGAACCTTCTACTTCTGGCATGTTCATAGACCCATTTATTCTTTTGGTAATCCCAATAAATACAAATGCAACTCCACATAATGAAAGATATCAAACGTCCCGGATGTAGATGGAACTCCAATGCTAGAAGTAATTAAGCGCTAGGTTTGGTATCAGACACCATTAGTGCTTCTTCGACCTCTTTCTCTTCTTTCTTCTGGGTTCCCCCTCCCGGATATCGACATTTCCAGCATCAGTGGCATCTTCTTTCTCGTCAACCGTTCTTTCACCACCAAAAACAAACTCTGGACCCTCTTCGTTGCCGAATGTATCCTTGCGCCATTGCCTCAGCCGAGCTTTCTTGCCCAATTTCTTCTGATCGCGACGCTTTTTCTCGGGATCACGGAACGAAGCAAGTTTCTTCAATCCGGCATACTCGTTGAGCTGGGTATCCTCAGCCATCAGGATGTCTCGTGCAGTCAGACCGAAACTGTTTGGAGATGTTTCGCGGTAGCGGAACTGACCCTGATGCTTCTTGGCACCGGGGAGAAGGTTAATATCCAGGTCCAGATTACGATCCACTGCCTCTTCAATGCGTAGTCGATCTTTGCGAGCTTCACGCTTCTGATCCCGCCTTTCCTGCGCTTTGCTCTTTTTGTTCTTGGATGCACTCTCATCGCCCTCGGCATCGTCTGCATCATCCATCTCAGCATCGGAATGCTGTAGGTCAGGTTTCTCGTCGTCATTGTCAAAGTCTGGTACAAGATCCTTGATATCGATATCATCATCCCAAGTGGGCTTCTTCGGTTTCATTTTACCATCACCTTCTCCAGCATAATAATCTTCGCCAAATCGCTTTTGCATCTCTTGTTCCCACTTTTGGTCATCCCAGGAATCATCCAAGAACTTGGCCCATTCTTTGTCAGTGAACTCGGTTGCGCGGAGGCCTGCGACTTCCTTGATTTGGTTGACCTTCTCTTGGAGCTCTTCCATCTTAAGCTTGCGCAGTCGATTCTTTTCCGTTTCACGTTGCTTCTTTTCCTCTTCCTTTTTCAAGCGCTCTGCCTCCCTCTGCTTCTTCCTGCCGCTCTTATCATCTCTGCGAACTGATTGCTGGTTCGTGGCATCACGAGCGTGTGTAATCAACGCTGTGTTGATCTTGCTAGGGTCTTCGAAGCGGAAGTTGTATGCTTCTTCGAATGCCTCTGCCCGTGCATCATCATCTTCATCATCAGACTCAAGAGGCTGAAGGTCTGCTCTGCCAGCAGGGATCCATGCTCTAGCTGACAGAAAGTTGGACAGGAAAGTCTCAGGATCTTTGTCCGCATTTTCAAGGTCCAGCTTGACGTCCTTCGGCGCCGATACGGGCTCGGGGGCTGACTTGGCAACGAGAAAGTCTTCATCGTCGTCACTTTCCTTGTCGGCGGATGCATCCTCGTTGGCAGCCGCATGCATTTCCTTGACAATTGCATTCTTCAAATCCTCTTGCTCCTGAGCATAGGTCTTTGGAGCTTCCGATGCATCTTCCTCTGCCAAGTTGGCACCACTAAGGAGGTTCTCTCTGTGGTAATCTTTAAGGGTCATGGTTTTCTGCTTCTTTTCAGAAGTTGCCGGTTGGTCTTCGTCGACTTGACTATAGAATGTAGCGGTCTGGTCGTATACACGCGGATCCTTCGTCCGAATTGCCTTGAGGGTAGCCATAATTTCCGCATCAAGCGCTTCAGTAGCCAGCTCTCCGTCGTCGTCCTCTTCTTCAGAGGTTGACTCGTCAGAGTCACCGGACTCATCATCGCCGCGTTTTCCAAAGGCAGAACCTTTACCTAATTTTGATTCCACTGTAGACGTTTCTATTCTTAGTACACGTATATACGTAGGAGCATGAGACATATAAACGTACGTTTCTGCATTTCTTCTCTCTTCTTGTTGTGTTCAAATCGACGGGCATATTCTTCATTAACCTTGAAGGTAACTCCATTGTTGACAGGGACTCCGCCGGACTCATCTCCGGAATCACTGGAGCTGTCATCGTCGAAAAGCTTTCGCGGCCTCTTTGCTGGTGGCTCCATGTTTATGTCAAGTACCACTAATAGAATCAAAAGTTATGCTCGTGCGAAGCCGACCGGTTCAACTAAGCCGCCATGCGCCCGAAAAAAAAAAGTGATAGCAGGCGGCAGAAAAACCGCCCACTCTCACCGCCTAAATATCCAAGATCCACACTGTGCCTGAGGATCCAGGCTGCAAAACAAATCACTGACGTAGCCAATTAGATCATTCGTGAGACTTGGTCAATCCCGAATGGAGTCGACGGAGGAGGCGCTCGCTCCAAGCTCCGGGACTATATGACTTCTACTTCCTTCTCTGACCCATACCCCTATTTGTTTCGAATGCCCCTTATATTGATAAATTGATTACTCCGGGGACCATTGTTTGTGTGTCCTCATCGCTACCTTTCCTCGCGTCAAGTGTATGGCCGGTGACATACACTAGATGTCGACCCAGCAACAGATCCCTGTGCCCCAAGTCGGGAAGCTCGTCAGTGTGGTGTGAGTTGTGCAAATATTGTATTCTATGGCCAGAAGCATCAATGATGATACTAACAACATTGATAAAGCCCAGTTGGATTAAAGGAGGCCGCACTCGACTCGCCGACATTCCGTGCCACCACGCTACACTTTGCCGACCAGATTGAGTTCCTAGAAAGATGGCTCGATGGCTATGCGAGGGCTGCTTCGAAGCTCTCTATGGGGCTAGCATCCATGGAGAGTATTGTTAACACCTTTCTGTCATATTCTACACACCCCGTCGCAGTCTCAGAAGCTGCTCTCGACCATGATTATACGCTATTGTCAATGAGGAGATGCGGGGATAGTTCAAAGGACTTGTGGAATGGGCTGGTGTCTACTTCAAAAAAGATTGAGATGCTGGTTGCAGAACCTATAAGGATCTTTATCCAAGAGGATCTGCGAAATTTCAAGGTGACCCTAGAACTACACAACCAGCGCCGGTCTATCAGTATCTAACCCCGCTATAGGAGACCCGTCGAGTGCTCGACCAGACACAAAAACATTATGACTACCTCTTGTCTAGATATTCATCGCAGTCTAAATCGAAGGAACCTTCGTCTCTGAGAGAAGATGCCTTTCAACTTCACGAGGCTCGCAAAGCTTATCTCAAGGCTTCGATGGACTTCTCAGTACAAGCCCCCCAAATACGAAATGGCCTTGATCGGCTCTTGGTAGGTGTGTCCTTTGACCAATGGCGGGAGTTTAAGACTTTCTTCCAAATAAACGGCGCAGGCTTTGCCAAGTGGGCCCATGAGATGGACAGGATAAAAGGCTGGGTACTTGAAATGGATGCAAGTGAAAGGTCTTCTAAGAGAGAGCTATTTTCTGCAAGGAAGGAAATTGAAGAAGCTGCAGAGACGGCGGCTAGACCTTCTCGCGAGCTTGACGACTACTCTGTGTCTACCGTTCCTTACCTTGGGTCCCGCCCGTTATCGGATCTTAGCATGACGAAAGAAGCCAGGCCTGAAAAACAGGGATGGGTGTATCTGCGAACACTCTATGGCAAGCCTACACGGACTGCTTGGGTTAGACGCTGGATATTCTTGAAGAATGGCATATTTAGCTGCCTTGTGCAGGGCCCGCGAACTGGCGGTGTCGAAGAAAGTGAAAGAATTGGTGTTTTACTCTGTAGTGTTCGAGCGGCATTCCAAGAAGAACGACGGTTTTGCTTTGAGGTGAAGACAAAAAGCAACAGTGTCATGCTCCAGGCAGAGACACAAAAGGAACTCATGGAGTGGATATCAGCTTTTGAGGCTGCTAAACGGAAAGCCTTGGAAAACCCAGCGAGTACAGATCTTTCGGTTTCTGGCAAAGTTACTGTCCAAGATCCGGCCTTCGCAATTTCTCAACCTCCAGCTCCAGAGTTCACTGCTGACCCAGCGGATTCTTTAACACCTCACTCAAACGACGAACACAATTCGTCGGACCGCAATGGCATGCTTCCTCTCCCAGAAAGAGACCCGGCCTCTCTTCGAAACAGTAGTGATATCAGCCGACGCCTCACTGGACTTGATTGCGAGACTTCCCCCAGAGAACATACATCTCGAATTATTCAGAAACTGGACCTTCACCGCAAAATGAACAACAATGTACAGCCTTCTACATCCATACCAGGTGCTGGAGGTGGGATAGCCAGTCTTATCTCTGCTGGCCATAACACTATTGTCTCCGGTACCGCACTTCCTTATAGTGTGGCAGACGGTGATCCGAACAGGGGACGCAGTATGTCTAACCGCTTTGATCCACCCACAACCCTTGCTCCACCGACCCTAGCAAACCCGCCTGCACCCACAAGTATGAGCAAGGCGGCTGTTATCGTGAGCAATGAAAGAGGAATCGGGCTGGGACATGCTGACAAGACTGGCGGCATGCCAAGCGGTATGATGGCGAACCTGTGGGGTAGCTCTAACTGGAGCTTTGTAAACAGGATTGAACTAGAACGCATGGGGTGCCCCGATACGGAACAGGATGCAGCCTCTCAACAACGACCGTCCTCACGAATGAGTGACTCATCAAAGCACGTAATGTCGACAGAAGCGAATACCACTAGTGCCACTGGTGCTAAGCAACACAAGCTTGGTCCCCGCCATAGACAGACAGTTAGCCTGGACGGGAATGCATCCCAAGTGCAGCGTGCAGTATTGGGGGTTACGCATGAGTATCCAAGTTACTATCCACAGCAGCTTAAGATTCAGGATGCCCAATTCCGGCTGCTTTTCCCGAACGTCAAAAAAGAGGAGCCTTTAGTGATGGTTTTCCGAGCTACATATGCTATGAATGATCAGCAAGAGTTCCCTGGAAGAGCTTATGTTACGACCCGCGACTTATACTTCTATAGCCACTATTTTGGGCTTGTACTAACAACAAGTGTCTCGTTAGAGAGTATCAAAGAAGTGACAGCCGCTGCTGGGAGAGACTCTGACTTTTTATTTTTTCACACTGTTCCGAGGCCCGGTGAAGACATCCCAGGTCGAATTACGGTAAAGACTTTCCTCGAGCCATTGAAACTCCTCCAGAGACGTCTTAACTTCTTAATTGACGATACGACCGCTGTTGAACCTCTGGGGCTTGAAGCAATCTTTAATGCTCTCAATAAAATGGAAGCAGATGCGGCAACCCGAACTCCTAGCGTTGATAGCTGGGAAGACGTGGGCATGGACGAGAAAATTTCTGGAGTAGATGCTGCAGCTCCAGGGTCACGGAAGGATATTCGGCCGGCCATCTACATCGAGAAAGGCTTAGATATGCATTCGAAGAAGGGCAGCAACGGCAAGGATGTAATGAAGTTCAGATTGCCAACTCAACCCGTTCAATATGTTCCTCAAGGCAACCTTCATCTTGCAGCAGAGAAGGTGTTTGATCTCAGCCCCAAGGCGGTTTTCCATATTCTTTTCGGCGACAAGAGTGCTGTCTGGCAGCTCCTTTTGCACCAAAGAAGGGCTCAAGGTAAGCTATATGAACCCGTATGGAAGGCAGAGCATTGCTGATTAGTTTGAAGATATCAAGCAAGGACCTTGGTCTCGCAATGAATCTAATCATTTGAGGCGAGATTTCAGGTATCAAATTGAGACAACGAATATGCTTGGTATGTGAATCAACCTTTATGTGCTTTATAGAACTACAACTAATGCGCCATGTACTAGGTCATAAGCACGGCCAGACCATATCCGATTATCAGATGATAGATGTCCTTAATGACCACCTCTGCTACGTGATAACAGACAAACGGACTCCTTGGCATCTTCCTTTCAAGCGCTCGTTCAGGCTGGTCAGTAAGATTGTGATCACTTTTGTCGCGAAGGGCAAGAGTAAGCTTGCTATATATACTAAGGTGGAGTGGTTGTGGTCTCCCTATGGCATTCAACGTGAGTATGACAGAACCAGGTCCGCAAAAATTATTGCTAATGATTATCAGGTGTCATTGACAAACAAGCAACCGGTGACCTAGAGCAAGATGCTCTGGATCTTGTGGATCTCGTGAGCGAGCAAGTGCGTAGGCTCGGTGCACACAGCCGAACCAAGAAAGCCATTACAATCTTCGGTCACGTTGGCCGTCAGAACACCGTATCACAGCTAGGCGAGTCAGACTTCAAGATAGAGATTCGAAATCCTCGCACTCAGAGGACGTTGGTCCAACTTCTATTTGAGACGTTCGTCAGCTTCCTCGAAAGTGCCGTTTCGTCCGTGATGCTTTGGACATTTGCCCTCTTTCGCTGGGTCTGGAAGACTGCAAACGCTAATTTAATTATCCTTGCCTTGTTAATATCCAGCATGCTGATAAATGGTTTCTATACCTCACGGGATGCCTATGATTGGTGGTACGAAAGAAAAGCCGAGAATTTCATGGCTCGTCTGGGAGTTCACCCGGACCATGTCATGAGCAAAGCTATCTACATGAGGGACATCGATGAAGTAATTGCAAACTCAACCCTCGGACATACGAGCGACGATGTCAGTGACTGCTTCGCCACCTTCCACCAGCAAACAATACGGAATGTTGGAACCCCGCTATCCATCAGTACGTCCGGTCCGAGAGATTCAGCGACGAAGAGCGCAGCCAGACGGCTCCAGCAGACTCGTGAACGCCTGGCTATGCATCGACATGACCTCGTGGTAGGCCTACGCGTGGTGAACAGCATCGAAAGAGAGATCCTCCAGAACGAATGGGAGCGTTGGCTCCGACAAGAACTGAGACGTTGTGACCAAGTCGAAGCCCTTCTCGGACAGAGTAGTGACAGTGACAAGGTAGACATGCAGGTGGACCGGACAGGTCAGGCTGCGTTCGCTGATTTATCCGACGACGTCAGGGAATGGTACGAAAGGTATTGTACAAGCTGCCATCAAGAACAAGACTTAGTCGAAGAGAATCACCGTGCGTATGGCAATTCATGAGTAGGCGCCAGAGATTTGTGGGTCATTTTGTGTATTCCGGGTCCTCTGATATTTGTTTGAACGATACCCTATTGCAATTAACGGGTCTGTTTTGTCTCATGTATGTGCTCCAAGACAATCCCATGTTTAGCACTTGAATGTATAGCTCAAATTGTATAACACATCGAAGAGATTGACGGTAACCTCTCATGACTCGATATGATATATTACCCCGCATGTTGTACTCCCTGTAGTGGATCGTAAACCGGTGTCATAACTGCAATTTGGACGGAGAGTTTCTAATTTTGTCGAGGCTTCACAGCACCTTCTTGGACAACATAATAGACCACCGTCCCATCACCGCCCATCCCCCTGTCCACCATAGCAAGGAGGAGCCTCTTTCCACCCCACTCCTTCGTGAGACGAGCCTTCTTTCTATATTCGTAGTATTCTACCAGCTTGGCCGCTTTTTCTCCACCGCCCCCATCATTTGTTTCTTCGCCGTCATTCATTGAAGCCTCCTCAGCCTGAATGTCAGCCTCGCCAGGAAGCGAATCGAACACTGACGCCATCTTGCGCAAACTCCACGGTTGATTCTTAACAGTCGGTAGAATAAACATGCGCTCCAGCTCGATGTCTTCTTCACGGAGTCCTCGCTCTAGTAGGTATAGTTGCTCATCCGGATGTGTGTAGACTCGATGCGGAGGTATACCGGAGATTAGGTACTGGGGGGCTGTTTGATCTTCTGAAGGCGTTGTTGCTAGCCCTTCTCCTAGCGACGAAGCCCTAAGGTATGGGTCCTTAAGGTTGTGGACTTGGAGTGAAGTCCATAGGTGCTGGTGTTGGAGGTTGTGGAGGATTTGGATTGTGCTTGCGGAGAGGGGATCGGAGGATGCGGAGGTGGAGATGAGGTTGGTGAGAGCTGATAGCCCTGGTGTCGCAAGGGGAGCGGACGTTGTTGATGCCATTTTGTCTCCCCTTTATGCCCTTTAGTTGTTGTCTCTGTCTCTCTTTGCCTGCCTGCTTGTCTCCTTTCTTCTTTCTTCCTTCCTTTTTTGCCTTCTTTGCTCCTCCCTTCGTTCACTTGTTGCGACTGTGGAATGTGCGGTGCGAAATCGGTGAATGTAGAACACAATTTGAGAAATTGACACAGAATTGCTCGGATAAGCTATCTATTGAGACAAAGAGAAATCAAGAGGCGAGTTTCAGCTTCTGGTTCTTGTACCAAACTTCTCTAACGGTAGTGGAGAGGAAAAGTTCCCTAGAAGTGGGGATCGAAAATTAAATCCGATTTAATTATTCACAAAATTAAGTTAGCGTTCCTCTTTTTTGGGAAAAAGAAGAACACATGGCATCATCGGCTTGGGGTTCCTTATTTCTGGCCCTGATTACCCCCTGCTCTTGTTTCTCATTTTCTGCTTATGTTTTCATATTTCTCTTTCATTCTCTTATAGAGACCTTCCCTTCGTTTCTCTTTCTGTCTCATCCTACTTAATTACCTTTGTCCCTCGTTTGATCTTGGTCTACTGTAGCTTGTTTCGATGGCGCGCCAGAAGCAAGCAACGCCCTTGCAACGGGCCACTTCTTCTGAATTGATGCACATGCCCCCGGAGGGATCTGATTCACAAGCAAAGCAACAGAATGGCAGCGCCAAGAAGCCTGCTGCCAATGGCAGTGCGCCCAAAGGACAAGTCGCGCATGAAGCTGCTCTAGAGACTCCAGGTTTGGCGCAACTTGCGATTTGTGTTCTTGGGATTTATGCGTCGTTGTAAGTGACTTGGACAGCTTTTGACTCTTGCTTCGCAAGTAACTAACAGTCGCGCAAGTCTCTCTTGGGGCGTCCTTCAAGAAGCGATCACTACAGTCGCCTACGCTGTCCGCCCTCCAACTGCAGCTGAACCAGAACCGCCTACCGAGCGCTTCACGTTTTCGATTGTCTTGAACACAATCCAGTCCACATTTGCCGCTATCACAGGCTTCCTGTACCTCTTTTTCTCGACCCCGGCTGGCCGGAAGATACCATCAATCTTCCCGACCAAGAAGATCTTGTTCCCTCTGTTCCTCGTCAGCATTTCTTCGTCACTCGCATCGCCATTTGGATACGCCAGTCTTGCGCATATTGATTATCTGACATTTATCCTTGCAAAATCGTGCAAGCTCCTGCCAGTCATGTTCCTGCATTTGACCATCTTCCGGAAAAGGTACCCCTTGTATAAATATGGAGTCGTTCTCCTGGTCACCCTCGGAGTCGCAACTTTCACCCTTCACCACCCGGGTACAAGCAAGAAGGTCGCCGCATCCGCCGCAAAGAACCAGTCCGGCTCATCTATGTGGGGAATTTTCCTCCTTTCCATTAATCTTCTCTTGGATGGTCTCACAAACACTACTCAAGATCACGTCTTCAGTTCCCCACAGATCTACACCCGCTTCACGGGGCCGCAGATGATGGTAGCGCAGAATGTCCTCTCGACTCTCCTAACCAGCACGTATCTCCTTGTGATGCCCCACCTGTCGTCCACCGGCATTCTGCACGCCATTCTCCCCATTCCTATTCCCCCGTCTACTGAGACCGAATTGGCGTCCGCCATTTCCTTCCTGTCAAGGCATCCTGAAGCTCTGAAGCATGTCTTAGGTTTCGCAGCTTGCGGTGCAATTGGACAGCTGTTTATCTTCTACACTCTTTCCCGCTTCTCGTCTCTGCTCCTGGTGACGGTCACTGTCACACGTAAAATGCTGACCATGCTCCTGAGTGTCTTCTGGTTCGGCCACTCTCTATCTTCCGGGCAGTGGCTGGGTGTGGGCCTTGTTTTTGGTGGCATTGGTGCCGAGGCCATGGTGCAAAGACAAGAGAAGAAGGCGAAAGAGCGGGCGAAGGCTGCAAAGAGCCAGTAAAGTATTGCTTAGTTCATGTATATATAGACCGTTTAAATAAAACTACAGCCTTTGATTAGTTAATGAGACTTATTATCTTCTTTTGGTATTGATATGGTAGTATCTCATTTTAAGAGTCTCCATGCTTTTAGAATGGAATGGTCAAGATTTGTATAAGAGAAGGAAGGTATTTTTTACTTCCGCCCCTCAACCATGATAATATGGTATCCAAACCCAGTCTTCACCTCCACATACTTCGGATTCGCCGTCGTACTAGGCTCCAGCTCATATGCTGCTTTCTCAAAGGTGCCATCAAGACTTCCCCGGACCTTCCAGCCAAGAGAACCACCTATACACAGCCATCAATACATCTCTGCTCATTCAAAACAAGCGTAATAGAAAGTCACAGGCAAGAAAGAAAGAAAGAAAGAAGAGTACATACCTTGTCTCGCCTTATCCTCCGAAAACTCCCTAGCAACATCGTCAAACTTAGATCCATTGCGGAGTTTCTCCAGAGCTTCCTCCTTCTTTGAGTGTTTCTCGCACTAATTCAACCCGAGTATCATTAGAAAATAAATGTCTCATACCCATGACGTTATTGACGGACGGTAGTCAATCTACACGGAACCGACTCAACCCCATACATCCGTTTTATATATATTGCCCCAAAACCCAATCTAAAGGGAGATAATAAGAGGAAGAAGAGGGGGGGGAGAATACATACAAGAATATGCCGTACATTAATCGAAGTAGCCGGTTTCAATCCCTTGCCCCCCTTATCACCTCCATCATTTCCCTTGCCTTTCTTGTCTCCGCCCTTGTTCTTGGGCGCCATTTTGGTTGTGTTGTTTTGTGATTGTTTTGGGTAAATGCTTTTTCTTTTTTCTTTTTTCTTTTTTTAAACCTTGTTTTTAGTTTGTGGAGGCTTTTTTTAAGGTAATACTTTTGGCTTGCTTTTTTGACCCTTCGAGAAGGTGCTTATCTCTTGCCTCTTCCAAATATCTGAATGCTGGGTCGAGATCTTGTTATGGGCAGTCAAATTGAGATCTGATGTTGAGGTCACAGATGTGGGGCTTTGGTGGGGTATGCCCGGATGCCTGAGGCGATGACTTCGTCTCTACTTGATGCTTTGCAGGTGACGACATGACTTTATGACTTTACCCGAACGTTTCCCTTCTGTTCCGGCTGAGTTTGATGGGTGGGGGATTTATTTTTACTTTTATTTTGTTGCTTATTAGTTCTTGAAAGGGTATTGAAAGGTAAGTTCCACTCTATCCTGGTTCTGGGAATGTTTATCATTATCTGATCGAGTGGGATTGTAGATCTGTACCAAGGAGTGGTGCAGTGTACGGTCCCAGATGAATGTAGATCTTAAGACGACGCGGATCAAGTCGTTGCCGGACGATGCGTTTTACATAGCGGATTTCATCACGGAAGAGGAGGAAGAGGTGCTGTTACAGAAGGTATATATGCTGTACATTAGTGTTCCACTGGCGTGTCCTGTCTACGGGCTACGCCGATTGGAATGATGGCCGGGCACAGTGCGTACTAGGTAGGAGTCTGCCAACGAGACTTGGATACTGATTGGAGTGATGATGCTGCATGACAGATAACCACAGTCCCTCTGCCCCGCTGGACGCATCTGTCCCACCGTCGTCTCCAAACATGGCCCTCTGCCCTAACCAAGTCCAACGCCCTTATTTCCTCCTCCCTTCCATCCTGGCTCGTCTCACCCGTCATCTCTCGCTTTGAATTGCTAGGTATCTTTGCTGATGCCCCGCACAAGGCCCCAAATCATGTTCTAGTGAACGAGTACTATCCCGGACAGGGCATCATGCCGCATGAAGATGGTGCTGCCTATTGCCCACTAGTTGCCACGGTGAGTTTGGGAGCGCCAATTGTGCTGGACTTGTACCAGAAAGGGCTGGGCTGGGACGGCGAGGAGCGTAGACCGCAACAGCGCATTTTGCAGGAGCGACGAAGTTTGTTGGTTACAACCAAAAAGATCTACACAGACTATTTGCATGGTATCGCGGAGACAACCAGGGATGAAGGGCTAGGCCCTGACTCTATATGTAACTGGGATTTGTTGCGGGAACAGGATCGATACCGGTGTGGATGGTTTGAAAGGGAGACTAGGATTAGTCTGACGTATCGGGATGTACTCAAGGTCGCGAAGGTGGGAAATACGATGAAATTCCTGGGTGGGCGGTGATACTGCTCGCACCTCCAGTTACCAGGGATAAGCGACTCCACAAATATTTCAATACTACAGCATTAGTATACCCATGGTATCATATTCCACCTTTCCCGCACTGAGTTTTCGCCGAATTTCTGCATGTACCAGCGTTTGGTCTCGGATGCAGTGACGCCTAAATTGACCGTGACAAAGACGACAGCGGACAAAACAGTCTTGTTGATCATTTCTCCCTGGGGAGCGGCAAGCAGAGCCAATGATAGGTAGATCGCACATTCAGCTGTGTAGTGCGGGCATACGATGCTGCGGAACAAGGGGTGAGAGGGAAGAGTGTACTTCTTGAGAGAGAAAAGATAGTGGTGGGCGTCATGTTGCAGGCCAGATGCAAACAGAAAGATCGGCAAACAGAGAAACGTACGAAGGCTTGGGGCGTTGTTCACTGTTACATCGTCGAGGCTCCATCTATGGGACAGCAGCGTTTCTGCGAGTTTCGAACCGATTGAAATTAGCGGGACAGCAATCGTGCTTGGCCATGGGAACTGCATACCTGTCCCCTCAATCCAGAGGGCGATTGAGACTGCAAGATAGAAGGCAATGCCTGCTAGCCAGTGGACAAACCACATCTGAGAAGAAGAAGGCCTGGAAAAGGCGAAGCATTCATGTAGCCGTCTTACACCTTGCGCGAGCATCAGTACCCAACACAACATAACCTGGTTTATCGACATAGTCCTCTGTAGGTGCTCTGAGTGAACCCTCGTCGCGATGGCTTGGAACGCTTGCCCATGGCACATAAGCTGAAGGGCCCAGAAAATTGAGGATAGCAGGGAGATGACGTAGAACTGTGTGAAATAGCTGTGTGGAACTTTCAAGGAGGCAAGATAGTCGAGAATGTGAGTTATCGGGGAGCTGCTCGAAGGCTTAGACGGGGTAGAATCCGACTCGACCGTCACGGTTGCACGAGCGCCATAAGGGACGAAGCGCGAACGAAGGGAATCCAACAGGCTGACCGACAGGATCTGGGGAGTTTAGTTTTGAAGTCATCTTAGATAGAAAAAAAATTGGTAGACTGATGCCGTATGATCCTCGGCGTTCTGCCACTACGTCATTGTCAACATGTTTTCATACCGTACACGATGCAAAGAGGAAGAAGGCTCGAAGGACATCCACGGCGTCCATGTGGGCAGTAGCCAGAGCCCGATCGACGAGACTGGGAAGAAAGTCCATCGTCATGAAAATTCTGTCCCCTCCGTGGAGGAAACCCGCAGACGATGGGTAAGGAGGGGGATTGATTGAAGATCAAAAAACTTGAAAGGACTAGTCGACAGGCAGCACACCACTCTGGGGTTTGTTTTGCTCATGGAATGGTTCCAGGACGCGATCTGGACTTTGCCTGCAGGTGAAACCTCGTATTCGCATTACTTACACTGACGATGGTCCCCTGTTCTGTCACAACGATGAGACACGTTCGACTGCTGTTTGTGGAGAACAAAAAACCACCGAGACTCCACAGGCCAAGGCAAGATGAGCAGTCATAAAATCATAAACAAACCCCCAAACCGAGTAATAATCGGCATCCTTTGGGTTCCACTGTGGTCTCGTGAGAAGCCAGTAGAGAACAACATGAACTTAGCTCTAAATTTTGCCTCTTTGTTTGGTATCCCTGGAGTAAAGTAATTATTAGTCAGTAACGCGGTAAGTAAACAACGCATTTCATTTTGTACATTCAAAAGAATATTTGACTCATACCAACAGACCTCCTGCATTGGTCATTTTCCCCGACTTTTTCTAGAGAGGATACAAAAAATAACAAAAAGAAAATTAAAAAAACAAAAAAAAAATACAGAGAAAGGAAAACCACGCAGTTATTCATGCTCAAACGGAGGAATGACTCTTCACAGATAAAATACCGCCGCACATTACATTGGTACATTCCTCATTACCACCATTTCCCCCCTTCTCCTTTAAGGCCGATCCATCGACGGGTCCAATAATCCATGTCGATGCCAACCAGAGACGGCGGCGAAGTGGGGCGATAACCAGGCAGTAATGCTATGCGCTGATTGGACGGAAATCAGCAGATCGCTGCGACTCAACGTGGGTCTGCCAAATTGGGAGAAAGGCTGTCTAGGCCGGAAATAGTAATGAGCGGGCGACGGTCCGCCCGGTCATTGGTTCAACCTGGGCAAATTGACGCCTTGGTAGTCTGATAGCCTACGCAGCTTCCAGGGATTCCTCTCAAAGCCCACAGGAAAGAGGGTGACTGGCGCACCACCTCTTGCCCTCCGTTCCAAAGTGCAGGTTTCAGAGGCACCACCACCCTAAAAAAAGAGAAAATTAATTCATTCATACGCCACTTTTTGACCGCCCCCCGCCCGCTTTTGGGCCTTCGCGCAGGATCTTGAGACTCGGAAGGGCCTTTCATCTTGCCTCCCTGTAGCTCCGTTGCGGCTGCATCTGTAAGCATTACGTATTATGGTGGTCGTTATGCATTCAAAGAGGGGGAAGTATGGGAATTAGAGGATTGACCCATTACACCCACAGATAAGAAAAGTAAGAAAAAAAAGGAAAAAGGAAAAAGGAAAAAAAGGAAAAACGGAAAAAAACTTGGGTGATGTGATCAAGATTGAAACGTACTTTGCTCGGCCTTAGTGGATAATAAAGATGGGGTTTATGTTTCTCGTACCGTATCATACCATCACCCATGACTACTTGGTGGTAGATAGTAACCACCACTAACGAGGCCTTTTCTAAGTTAGCGAAAAAGCATTTGGTGCTTCTGTCTTGGTGGCCAAAACAAGAGAGGAGTACCCCCCCCCCGACTGTAAGTTTCCCGGGGCAATAATTACCATTACCACCAACCCGCTTCTGGACGACAAGTGCTGCGGACTACTGCTTCTACTCTACTGCTAAATTACTACCACGAAATTTCCCTAAACCCCAAACGAGTGGTCGGCTGTTTCAACGCAACTCTTCGACTCTCTTCTCTCTCTCTCTCGTCTTCTTCCTCTTTTCAATCCCCCTCCCCCAATCTTTTCCTCTCCCACCTTGAACCTCAAAAATCACCTTCTCGTCTCTTTGTCGACTGTATTTCTTCCTTGCCAATTTTATTTCTCCTTCATCTTCAGTTACCTCTTTGTCCGTCTCCCGCAATATTAACTCTTTTTCCGAGTTCTAAATCTACTCATCTCTTTCCCTCATACTGCTGCCCTTGTAGCTCGACTGATTAACTGCGCCCTCCTGACCACTCGCCGAGAATTATCGCTTCCGCTGTACGCAAAGGACCGACCCAAAGAACGATTCCTTACCATCTAGCGTGGTCGAGCACCAGCTTCCGCGCATACTTGCTGGTGTCTGACCACGAGTCTTCCTTTTCGCCACGGCCCCCGAAAATGACGAGCGGAACCCCCAGAAATCGAGTGCCACCGCTATGAGTGATGTTGATGCTGTCTCCTCCCTGCCAGCTGCCCTAGATGCCGGACACAGTGCTCTTGCGGTCAAAGTGAACCACCGATCTCCTCCAGGTCCACGGTCTCCTAAGAGGTCGTCTCCATTCCCTGCCTACAGGAGAGAGGACGGTCGCGCCAAAGAGGTTGATCCTGTTGCTGGGGCTGGCGAAGGGCCACCAAGCCCCAAGGCTGACTCGGAGGCAGAAACCATAATCCAATCGGGCCGCGAGTCCCTGTCACCGGAAAAGAGACGGAAGTACATACAGCATGAACCGAAACGACGTGATGATGATGACCATGTTGATGCCGTGGAGAGTGATCTTCCTCCTAACGACCTGCAGGTGCGAAAGAGAAAGTTGACGGATGGCGATTATTCCGATGGACGCGACCGGGATTCACGTCTCCTGAGCCCGAAGAAAAGAACAGGGTCTCCGCCGTCGATTGTGAAAGTAGAGAAGCCTGAGGATGTGCAGCCTCTTTCGAGTAGAACCGAACTTTCGACTACCTCCGTACCCAGAACCTCGAGAAAGCGCAGCTTCAGTGAGACTATCGATGGTGAGGGGGACGCGGGCCGTCCTACTCGCCTGAGAGAACCCGCAGCATCTCGTGAACGGGAGCGAAAGGACTTAAGCAGTGTAACTTTCCCCCGGCCGGTATCGACTGACCGGTCGGCCTCGCCAGTCCGATCTGCTCACAAGCGAACTGCTTCTGGTCCCCAGCTTGGTGATTTACAACGAAAGAAGAAGGCACCGACGCCACTTATTACTGGATATCCACGACAAAGTTCGGAAGACCGGCAGTCTGTGTCATCATCAACAAGTGGATCTCCGCTACCTAGTGCGCATCTTCGCAAACTCGGATCGGTTGATGGTGCCTCGGCTTCTCCGGCTAGGCCAACGGGTCACAAGAAACAACGCGATCAGAATGGTCGGACACGTCTTGCACGTGCTTGTGCAGCACAAGAATTGGAGACGGCCATGGCAAGGCACGCGGAACGCCCAGAGGACTTGAATGTTGCCGACAATGCCGGCAATACGCCTCTGCAGATTGCGTCTTTGGAGGGATGTGGACCCATTGTGAAGTTTCTTTTGGATTCTGGTTGTGAGATCGATACCAAGAACATTGACAAAGATACACCGTTGATCGATGCAGTTGAAAACGGCCACTTGGATGTTATAAAGCTTTTGTTGGCAGCCGGCGCAATCCCCGTCTTGTTAACGCTGAAGGTGATGAGCCGTATGATTTGGTCCCATCTGATAGTGAAGATTACGAGGAAATTCGTCGGGTGCTTGCACAGGCCAAAGCCAACCCGAGACCTAGTCGTCGTTCCGAGGAGAGAGCTGGATCTGAGAACAAAGAGACATCGTCCCGACGAGTTTCTGCCGAAAGTACGCGCGAATCGCCACCTGTGAATAGACAACGTAGCCCGCCATTCACTACGACGAAACGCAAAACTGTGCGAAGCGAGGCCACACGGAATGATCTCTTGTGGACCACAGCTACTCCAGAGAATCTACAAGCCTTCGCCGCCAAAGGAGATATTGTGGGGGTTGCCAACATCCTCAATGTGGGACAGAAGGCTGATCCTGAATCCATGATTGCAGCTGCTAAAGGTGGCCATGACGAGGTGATTTCGCTTCTGCTCGGTATGGGAGACGCGGACCCCGATCCCGATCCGGTGCAGGGCGGCTCCCAGAAGCCTGGTTACAATACCCCCATGCTCGCTGCGATTGGAAGGGGCAACCTTGCCGTCATTAGGATTCTGCTCAATCAGCCGGAGTTTAACCCCACTCGTCGCCTTTACAGGGATCGGACTTACTTCGAGCTTTCTAGGGAACGTCGAGCGGAAAACTGGGAGGACGAATACGATCTTCTTCGAGATGCATATGACAATCATGTCAGAACCAAAAAGTCACGCAAGCAAGATATTCACTCGCCACGTAGAGCACGTGACAAGGACAAGGAAAACAAGCGTCCTGGACGCAGAGATTCGCCGTCACCTGCAGGTCGACCCAGAAAAACTAATGGAAGCCCGGGCTATAGGGATTCTGCCTCCAAGGATGCAGCCTCGACAAAAGAGAAAAGGCGGGACAACGTAGCTCATGTCAAGGAGAAGTCTAGTTCAGTCCGTCCGAAACCAGCTCATACTACGGGTACCGATCCTGATAGCGCACGTCCAGATCCCAGACCGAAGCAGCCACTTTTATCAAGGGATGGTGAGTCTAGCCGTGGCGAGGAAGCTCCTAAGAGAAGACGCTTGATCGCTGGGCGACCTCCCCAAGATCGAAGGAGGCCTAGCTTGCCTTCGTCCGATTCCTTGTCGAGCCGGGATGAAAGCTCAAAAACGCGTATTGATCAACTCGAACCCCCAAAGTCCGGACCACCACCCTTTAAGCGTGGACGTAGCAGCGCGAGTCCCGAGCGAGGTCGTGCTACAGAACCCGAGCGGCATTCTCGTGATACTGTTCAGAAGAAAAGACGTGTTTTGTCTGAAGATGGGACCCCTAACATCACGAATGGAAGTGTCAAACAGGATCACGCAACAGGGGATGCCAAGCCCCGCCGGAAGGATGACGAATTTCACCATTCAGAGTCCAAGCCAGATCCACTATGTCAACTGGACGCCCCATCCCACAAGGCAGCTGAACGGAAGCCGGTTAAGGAGGAACAGGAGAGACATGATATCAATGGCCTGAACGATATCCCTATGGACGACGATACCGAACGAGCTGAGGCAGAGGCAGAGGCACGTCGACAGAAGGAAGCCCGAAAGGCTAGACAAGA